TCTCGTCTTGTTTCTCTTGCAGCCCGTCAGATGCACTGGAGACCACAGTGAGCGCGCTCGGGGGGTTGGCAGGCCAGGTGGAGGGGAGCTGTGGCTTTTTCGTTTTGTGGTCCCTTTTGCAAGGAGCACGCCTGGTGCAGGGGGGTACAGGAAACTGATTGCCCTGATAGATGGAACTGGAGCCAGCCCAGAAAGAGAGGATGTGACTACATGCCTGCCTGCTTGCATGCAGGAAAGCGTCAGCCCTTTGGGGACGGCATTGGGGGGCCTGCTAAAGGGTCAGCAGCAGTACAGATTGTTACTGAGCTGGTGATGTGGCTGAGTCCTTATGTGCCATGTTTAACACCTGGCTCCTACTCACGTGGGTGGGCCATGTTCCAAGCCTTCTCGTGAACAGGGCGGTCAGGCGATAGTCAGGCTGAAGCAGGTTCTAAGATGGCTCTTCTCCCTCCTATCCCTCTGGGTGGGAGAACATCCCACATCCCCTGTGCCATGTGATGAACGTCCCCAGTCCTCTGCCACTCGCTCCAGCAGCTTGGGCAGGAGGGGACAGCAGCCGAGACTTCCCCTCAGTGTACTGCCCGAAGCCTGGCTGTGTGCCATGGGAGGCGCAGGCTGGCCAGCGTGGCTGCGTGGAAGCACTCAGCCCTTCTGAAGGGGGCAGTTGGGAACAGGGTACTGCTCAGTGTGGGTCTGTCTGTGGACTGTGGGTGGAGCGAGACACAACCACTGGTTTGCAGGCCCCAGAAGCTCCTGTGAGACATCTGGCTGCGCCCCAGCCCCATAAGTCAGCACCGCCCCAGTCGTGTGACTTTTGCTACAACCCAGACCTAGTGAATGGCTGGTGCCTTGCGCTGCCAGCGAGGATGTCCAGGGGCTGAAGCCCCAGTCTGGTCTCATGCCTCATGCCAGCAGGGGCTGGGCAAGCTGCCACAGCCAGGGGAAATTAGCAAAGGCCGGGCCAGGAAAGGAATTTGTTTCCAGTACCAGATATGATGTGTGCAGGAGCGGAGAATCCATCCAGCAGAGGCTGCCTCTTGTCTCTGCCTTTTCCAGGCAGAGGAACGGCTGGCCAGTCCTCTCCAAAAAACCCATCCTGGTTATTGGGCCCCCCAGTCACAGACAGCATCTGAACCAGTCATTGGGGCCATACCTTGAGCCCAGGATGTGGCTGGGCTCATACAGTGGTGACTTAATGTGCATGGGAAATGGAAAAAGGCCATAGCAGGTTTGCAGAAGGCCAGCACTGGATTCTGAAATAGCACCGGGGCGGGCTGAGATTCAAAACCTGCTGCATATCTAGGGCAAAGGGCGGTGAGCCTGCAGCCCTGTTCTTCTGTCCCACATGCATTTGTTCTCCCTTCCCTATTAAGCCCCCTTCTGACCTTGGCAAGGATCAGCTCTCACGGTAAGTATCAGAGACCAGAGAGGGGCTGCTTTCCCCGGCTGGTGTGACCTGGACTCCAAGGCCTGGGGCCACACTCAGAGCTGGTGTCAGTGATGCTGCTCCACCGTCTGCGTTAAACCAGCCCTAACTCCATGAAGCCAGCGGCATTGCACCTGCTTGCACCAGCTCGGAGTATGGCTCTCGCAGGGGTTGGTTTGCCTACAGGACTCGTGTCACTGGCAAGCTGCTGCTCTACAGAGCTGAACTTCTTGAGGGCCTAAGCCTGAGAGCGGGGAGTGCCTGCTGAGGCCTCAGGATCAGGCCCCAAGGAGAATACCAGAACCACTCCCACTGTACACAGCTGCTAAAGTAGGTCTGGTGGCTGGCTGGGCTGTGGGAAGCGGGCGGTGCGATTAACTGTGAAGCCCTCATGGTTTCCTGTGTGCTGACACAGAGCCTGTTTGCCTTCCCATTGTTACTCACCCCACAACTCAAGCCTGCTTCTGCAAGAGGCCATGAAGATGTGCGGCTGCTGAGCTCTCTGACGGTGGGCACAGCATTTCCACTCGCCACCCCGTCCCCGGAGCCACGAGACCAGGGTCTCGATGTGCCGGCCAGAGTGGTGAGTGGGGGGAGGGCGTGGGGAAAGAGCAGTTGGGTGACCTGGACGCACGCAGCACGAAAGTGTCTTGCAGGTAGGCCCTGGCCCCAGCTGGACTTGGCCCTGTCAGGCCTGTCCACACAAGCCATACGCGCACATTGGGGCACCTGGTTCCAGAGCCAGAGTGTCCCTTCCACATCCCAACGGGCTGATCCATCTGCCATGTGGTGTTGCCCCAAGGAGGGGGCGCGTGACGGTGTAGGAGCTGGGCTAGTGCAGGCAGGCAGGCTGTTAATGGCAGAGGGCTTCTGGGATGTCCTGGCAGAGTCCGGCAGCAGGCACACACGGGGGTACGAGCTGTGTCCTTCCGAGGAAGGACAGTGGGATTGCAGGGCGGGGTTGGTGATGCAACCACCAGACCAAGGCCGGATGCTCCGGGGGCTGGGAATGGGAACTCCCAGGACTTTTCCCCATGGCAATACTTAATGCCAACCCAACTCTCCCTCGTGAATTTTTTGCTACACTGAGGCTCCCAACTTTGCATGGACCCAATACCCAGCTTGGGGATTTCAGGCTTGGGGGCTGCCTCTCATTTTAGATTTAAAAATGTGTTGAATCTAAACCAAAAGCTGGGCCCCACCCAGAACCTCATGGCTGAAGCTCCCTGAATTTCAGGAGGATCTGACTGTCTGGATCAGAGCTTCTCCTCCATGCCATTATACCTTTAGTTTTGGATCAGAACCAGGAGGAGCCTGTTACCCACTGAGATCTCAGGGGCTGAACAGCCATTCTTGGGAGATTTGAACCTAAGGAGAAATCTCATGAGAACAGACGATCTTGCAAGGTTTCCACCAGTGAAGACCAGAATGGCTTGTGAGACAGCAGCACCATGGGACCTGAATCCCAGCCTGGATTCAGCCCGCAACTCCCATGCCCGCTTGAATGCAGAGCAGATGCCCTGTTCTTAGCCCCGCTCAGTGTAAATACCTGGCTGATCTGACTCCATATTCATTTCCAAGCACCTCACCCCTGTGCTTGCTCTGTTAAGAACCTGCTGATGGGCTAGATTGAAACTTTCCCTCTACCTCCCTTTCTGATTCTACTGCATTAGGTGGGTCAGAGTTCAAATGCAGTCTCGTGCGCTGGGCTCCCATCTTTTTCTCTTCTTTTTCCTCCCTTCCTTTCTTCCAAGCAGGTGCCATTACTCCAGCATCGAGCTGGCTCCAGGACAAAGTGCCACGGCTCCAGAATTCAGTGTTGTCACGCCCACTTGGCCCCGGAATCATTAGACTCCCTGGCTTATAGTTGGAATCCTAGTACTGGCAGCCCCAAATATTTGAAGATCAGGTGTCAGGCCCCCAGAGATCATAAGAGTGGCTTAAAAATGACAAGATTTTTCAAAATCTTGTCATTTGGGGTCCTTTTTCTTGGCCTCGTGCTGTTTGAGTCTTTAGGGAGCACTTGAGTCAAGTTCTTGAGCGTTTCTAGGGCTAGGAACTTTTTCTTTTAAATGGAAGCTGCAATTGGCACCTAATAACGTGATGCCCCCAGGAGCTGGGGCTTCAAGAAAAGCACCAACTTGAGCCAGACTCGTGATAGAACGGTGAGAATTAGCGATGCCGGAATCCACCTGGCTGGGCTGTGCCAGGAACAGCCGCGTAGGATTCTCCCATGGCTTGGTGCAAAGCAGCAGTAAGGAAGAGGGTGCCCTCTTGCTGAGCTGCAACTCTGCCTTCCAGGGGAGGAACCGCATCCATCCCCCAAAACACCTCTACCTGGGAGATCACAGGCTCACGGCCCACTCTGCCCGAAAGGACACTTGAGAGAGAGTACGTACAGGATACAGCCCTGGAGCCCCAGAAACTCAGCAAGGAGGGAGATCTGTTTACTCCAGCCATTCAGCATTTGTCTAGGAAAAGGGGAAATTGGGCCAGATCTGGAGACAGTGGCAGCCCCCAGGAATGCTTTGGCTCAAAGCGTCCATTGACGACGGCTGCTTTTTCTTCCTTATTGGCTCCCCCTGGTGGCAAATCCATACGAATTTCAGCAGTTCAGTTCTAGGAGACTTCATTGGCAGGACAAGCTAGATGCAGGTTGCCGAAGTGTAATTCACGAGGCAGATCCTATAGGTAGCTATTGAGCGGCTAGTACCTACCTCCAGGGTGGAGCTGCGCTCTGTGCTGGGGTTTGATCCGTTTTTGTTGGACTCCATGTCTATGCTGTTGAATTAAACTTCCTAACTTACAGTAGCTGCAGCAGGAGAGGTGGCGCTTTGGGAAGCGGAGGTAGGAGGAGCAGGAGATCGGCTGCAAGGATTGTGGCTCCCCATCCACGCTGGGAAGATGCTATTGTAGCTGCATTCACCTGAAACTCTTGGCTCAGGTGATGCGACCCACTGGGCCAATCGGTGCCTGAATCCTGGGCTGGGCTACTGAGTGTGGATACATTGCTGTAAACTCAAGACATGCCAACCAACTGCTTGTTATGGTGCTTTGTGCTTGGGATAGACAGGAGGACAGGAGTAGCTGGGTTCTGGCATCATGCTCAGACCTGGCTCTAAACAGACAACCTACCGAATTCTCAATTACTGAGGGACAATCTCCACTCATGGATATATCTTTGCTTTCCACAACCAAATCTCTGTACAACTTCTCATGAGTGATGTACCCGAGTATTCAGATTCTAATATTTAAACTGTATTGTTAAATCTGTTCACCTAAACTTGGGTTATTGCTGATTATGTACTCTATATATGATATGACTTTTAAAAACTAACTTTATATTTGTGGATAATCTAAGCAGTACACCCAGATGTACAGACACTGTTTTCCCAACTTATGTAGTCTATAATTTTTTTAACTTTAGCTTTAATAAAATTTTTAAGCACGACACTATTACTTCCCTCGCTGGCGTGATCCCATGCCTGCCCCAGCCCGAGACGGGGACATTAGATGGCATTGCCCTCTGCATTCTCCTTCGGGTGCACTAATTACCAATGTTCTCTTCCTGCAGAGCTCTGCGTGAAGTGGATTTCTGAAGTGGCTCCAGATCGTGGTGAAAGGATGGCTGGGCCCCATCCGCCCTCCTTCACTGCCGCCCTGGGACTGGCATTGCTCGGTGTCCTGGTCTTCCTCTCAGCCCTGTGTGCTGCCTGCAGAAGGTACGTGTCTGAGCCTCCCTCTCACAGTGTAAACCATGCGTCAGGGTAGAACAAACCTCAGGAGTTTTGCATGGGTCTTGGAAGGGTTAATTCATACATGGATCTCCTTTGGCTTAAGTAGTGGCAGTCTGTATGTCAGCCCCTCTCCCCCACCCCGTCCCACTGTCCCTCAAATGCAACCAACCAACCATGGAGCCGTGCATGCTGGGGCAAGGCTGGGGGAGCTTAGCTGATGCTGATGCTGTGTGGATACCCACCTATCTCTGTTGCTCAGCAGTGCAGGAGTGTGAGGACCCCAGTGCCTGGATTTCAGTTGCCTGAAACCCCCTGCTGCAGACATGCAACTAGATTCCAAAAGCTCCCACCCTCCTGCTTCACTCCTCTCCCCTCCACCAAGGACTATCCCTGCCAGGTTTGTTCCCCAGCATCAAAGCAGGAACAAAGCTCCAAGCCAGCGCTGCATTGGCTGCAAACAGATGAGTCACAGGCTAGGGAGAGGCTGGTATCTCCCAAACTGGCGGCTTCTTCCAGCCAACCCAAACCACAAGCCACAAAGCCCAGCTAGGCTCCCAGGGCGGGGATGGGATCAGAATCAGCCCTATGCTCTCAGCTACGACTGGGCCTCTCCCCATGCTTCTCCATCGCCTGGTCTTCTGGCCCCAGCACTTGCCTGGCACAGCAGCTGCCCATCGCTGTCATAAAAAGGGGGCTGGACATATCTGTCCTGGCTGAGTACAGTGAGACCTGCCTTAAACCCCCCACCCAAGGGACCAGTAAAGATCCCCCTTCTTGCAGAGGCGGGGCTTGAACTAAAGGCCAGACAGGATTGTCCTGGGAAGGGCCTAGGGAGGCTTAAGGCTGCCCATTGGAGGTGGGGTTGGGCCATTGCCCCCAGTGTCACCATGCCATGTGGGGTGGGGTATGGCTAATAGGAGGTGTTGGCCCTTACGCCACCATAGAAATTCAGAGCAGGGAGGTTAGGGGAGTTTGAAATGTAGGGGGAAGTGATCCTAGCAACACCCCTCTGCCCCTTGGCAGCAGCATGAGCCCAGGAAGGCTGCCAGGGCCCGGAGGCATGTGTCAATCCCACCGGATCCTCATTAAACACTTCCCATAGACTGGTGTGTAAACTAAGGAGGGCATGGCACAGCTGCGGAGATGCCAGGCCCTTTGAAGAGGGAGCCCTGAGGTTTCCATCAGGGTTAGATGCAACTGAGCGTGTCGAAGGTCTTGTCAAGATAAAGGGAGTGGGCAGGATTCCCACGTCGAGCGCAGCAGGGCGCTCTGCAGCACCAGGCTGTCGGAGAGCCCAGACAGGCAGGGCAAAGAGCAGGGGAGTGGGGGCCAAGTGGGGGCCTCAGGAGAAAGCAGTGCTGCAGGAAGCACAGAGAGTCGGCTTGCCACCTCACACAGTGTCCAGGCCTGGCTAGAGGGGGCTCTGGAAAGATACAAGGCAGGACACTCACAGCGGTGTATGGGCACAGTGAATCCTGAGTGGCGGGCATGCTCACAAGAGCGTGTGGGCGTGGATTCAGAGTGGCGGGCGTGCTCACAGGAGCACGTGGGCATAGATCCTGAGTGGCGGGCAGGCTCCCAGGCACAGGTGCAGTGAGGCGGGAACAAATGTGATGCACCGTGTTGTACAAGCTTAGGAGCTGTGCAGTGCCGACAAGATACCAGGTCACGGGCATGCTGCAGCTGGTGCCCGTGCAGGCAGGATGTGGTGTGTTCGTCTGACTGATCCGCGCAGCTGCACGATGCACTGAGTAGTCTCAGGAAGCAGAGAGCGCTCACCGATGGTGCTCTCATTAGGCTCATTCCCAGCATTTGGTATATGCTCCTAATGTCCGCGTGACCACTGTACTGCAGTAGGAAACGTGGTCTTAGATATAACGGTGATGGGCATGGTGTAAGACCCTGGATACAATACACCTGGATCCACTGGGCTAGCCATGAGAAGCAGATTCCTTAGGTGATTAGCATTCACCAGTGCTGCACAGAAACAATACGTTAAAGCCGAGGCTTTAGAAAGTGACCTGTGATTTTGGGTGCCCAACTAGAGACGTCTCACTGGGGCCTGATTCCCAGGGGCAGGCTGAAAATCGGGCCTGTTGGAGGCCTCTCCACAAGGGCCCCCAGAAACACTGGTCACGTCTGAAAATGTTGCCCTCCAGGCCACAGGAGAGCTCTTCTCACAGGATGCTTGCTGGCGGATCCTTCACCACCATCCAACCTTTGGCTTAATCCTTCTCCTTGCAGGAAAACTAGGAAGAAGGTGGTCCCACCGGACGGGGTGAAGCTGGTAGATGTGGTAAGTGCGCACATTGGCTAGATAAGCTTATGGCCCCAAAGTCACGCAACAACCAGCGGGAGCTGCTACTCCTGCTCCAGGGGAGCATGGGTGGCCTAGGGGGAGCCCAGCGGCACTGCCTTAGGAAAGGGCCAGGATGGCCGTCTCCTGGACAGCAGCTGTTGCAGGAAAAGCTCTAGAAATGGGCTTTCTTAGAGCCCCATCCTGCACGGTGCTGAGCACCTTCTGGCTCAGTGGGAATTGGGGGTGCTCAGCACCTCGCGAGGACTGTCTGGAAGCCTCTGGGGAAGAGCTGTCAAAGTGGAAGGTGGAGCGAGTCTTCTCTGCCTGGAGTGAGCAGCCTGCGGGAAGGGGAATTGGGACGGCCTGTCGAAAGGTGTCTGTGGTACTGCTCTGGGAGGGACCAGCTGAGCTGGGAGCCAGGTTGTAGCCGAAGCAGCATATTTTGGTGTCCAGAGATGCACTGGAAAGCTGAGTTATTTTATTCCCAGGCATTAATTCAAAAACACGAGCAGCAGGGGGCTGGAGTGCTCGTTACAAAGCAGAGACCAGCCTCCACCAAGCATAGTATGTGACAGGGAGAAGGCACTGAGCCCTAGCTGTTGCTGGATGGTGCTTAAATCAGAAGGTAAAGTTCACCAGCATGGCACTAGGCGGATGGAGCAGGCTTGCTGGGTGGAGCCGTTTGGGGAGGGCCTGGGGCAGTGCAGCCTGGCTGTAGGGATCCCCCAAAATGGGTACTAGCCAAGCAAATGGCAGGCAGGGTTGGTAAATGCAAATTGTACTGCACACTGGAAAACATCATCCCAAGTACACCTACAAAATAATGGGGTCTAAATTAGCGGTTACCACTCAGAGATCTTGGAGTCATTGTGGATAGTTCTCTGCAAACATCTGCTCGATGGACAGCGACAATCAAAAAAGCAAACAGAATGTTAGGAAAGGGACAGATAAGACCAAAAATATCATAATGACAAGATAGGTTTCAGAGTAACAGCCGTGTTAGTCTGTCTTTGCAAAAAGAAAAGGAGTATTTGTGGCACCTTAGAGACTAACCAATTTATTTGAGCATGAGCTTTCGTGAGCTACAGCTCACTTCATCGGATGCATACCGTGGAAACTGCAGTAGACATTATATACACACAGAGACCATGAAACAATACCCCCTCCCATCCCACTGTCCTGCTGGTAATAGCTTATCTAAAGTGATCATCAAGTTGGGCCATTTCCAGCACAAATCCAGGTTTTCTTACCCTCCGCGCCCCCCCCCCCCACACACACACAAACTCACTCTCCTGCTGGTAATAGCCCATCCAAAGTGACCACTCTCTTCACAATGTGTAAGATAATCAAGGTGGGTCATTTCCAGCACAAATCCAGGTTCTCTCACTCCCCTCCAAAAACCAAACACACAAACTCACTCTCCTGCTAGTAATAGCTTATCAAAAGTGAGTCACTTTTGATAAGCTATTACCAGCAGGAGAGTGAGTTTGTGTGTTTGGTTTTGGAGGGGTGAGAGAATGGATTGTGTGAAATGACCCACCTTGATTATCATACACATTGTGAAGAGAGTGGTCACTTTGGATGGGCTATTACCAGCAGGAGAGTGAGTTTGTGTGTGTGGGGGGGGGGGGGGGGCGGAGGGTAAGAAAACCTGGATTTGCGCTGGAAATGGCCCAACTTGATGATCACTTTAGATAAGCTATTACCAGCAGGACATTGGGGTGGGAGGGGGTATTGTTTCATGGTCTCTGTGTGTATATAATGTCTACTGCAGTTTCCACGGTATGCATCCGATGAAGTGAGCTGTAGCTCATGAAAGCTCATGCTCAAATAAATTGGTTAGTCTCTAAGGTGCCACAAGTACTCCTGTTCTTTTTGCAATGACAAGATATAAATCCACGGTACCCCCACTCCTCGAATGCTACGTGTGGTTCTGGGCTCCCCATCTGAAAGAGATATTAGATATGGAAAAAATACAGAGAAGGGCAACAAAACTGATTAGGGGTGTGGATCAGCTTCCATATGAGGAGAGATTAATAAGACTGGGACTGTTCAACTTGGAAAAGAGACGACTGAGGGGAGAGAGAATCAAGGTCTATACAATCATGACTGGTGTGGAGACAATGAGTAAAGAAGTGTTGTTTACCCCTTCACGTAGGACAAGAGCCAGGGGTCACCTAATGAAATGAATAGGCGGCAGGTTTAAAACAAGCAAAAGGAAGTACTTCACCACACTGGCAATGAGTGAACCTGTGGCACTCATTGCCAGGGGCTGTTGTGAAGGCTAAAAGTATAATTGGGTTAAAAAAAGAATTAGATAAGTTGATGGAGGATAGCCATTGACGGGCCTATCAGCTAAGACGGTGGGGGATCCAATCCCATGGTCTGGGTGTCCCTAAGCCTCTGACTGCCAGAAGCTGGGACCGGATGATGGGATGGATCACTCTCTGTAAATTGCCCTGTTCTGTTCATTCCCTCTGAAGCATCTGGCACCAGCCACTGTCGGAAGTCTAGACACTGGGCTAGATGGACCCTTGGTCTGACCCAGTGTGGCCGCTCTTGAGAGTCTCACCGGTGCGTCTCCTCCTTTCTTTGCAGTCGTTGCTGAGGCAGATGCAGCTCCGATCACTCAGTAAATCTGACACCAAACTGCATGAGCTCAACAGGGTGAAGCACGTGGATGAGCGTGAGTGGCTGTAAAATTCTACCGTAGCTGGAGCTGATGTGCAGAGAGATCTGGCGGCTCTGGGGCTGGGAGTGCGCCGATGCAAAGGGAGATGGTGTCTATGCCTGAGGAGCAGCGCAGCCTTCCTGTTGCAGGGATAGGGTAGTGGTTCTCCCAACATCCTCTCTGGTAGGGCCGCGTTGCCTGCTACTAGATGGCTGGTGTATTCCTGCGATCACACGTGTCCACACGGGGTAGTTGCACGTGCAAGCCATCCTCGTTATCATGAGCAATGACACTCGCTCACGCTGTGAATGAGCTTCCCAGTGAAGGGGTATTGACAAGGGCAGGGTATTATTAACACTTATCTTTCTAACTCTGCTTGGTGAGTCCATTGAAAGAGCCAGCCAGTGTCCCCTACAAGAGCCAGTGCAGATTCCTTACGCACCTTCTCTTCTCTTCTCTTCTCTTCTCTTCTCTTCTCTTCTCTTCTCTTCTCTTCTCTTCTCTTCCCAGATCAAAGACCAGCCAGCGTGGATTTCCTTTACCCATCAGGGTCTTTGGGGGATGGAGAAGGAGCTGCGCATAGCTCGAGCTTCAGCATCCTGCTGCACCGAGAGCTGCCCCAGATCCCCCATTCCAACCCTTCGGCTGATGCCCTGAGTCCTGACCAGACTTACTCGAACCTGTTCTTCTCAGCCCCGCTGAAACCAGCCCCGGAGGCGCTGTACGGGTGTGCGGCCATGACTCAGGAAGGGCCTCAACCAATGCCCATCTTGGGAACCCCAGTGGAGGCATCCCCTCTAAGCGAGGCGGACAAGGCAGTGACGGCTGAGTACGCCTGCGTCCGCAAGGCGAAGAAAAATTTCCAGCCAGAGCTCCAGGACGAGACACAGAGTGAATCCTTTGTGGGGCCTGCGGACCCAGAAGGCTGGGAAGGAGCTGCCTGTAACCCCCCAGTGGTGAAGGTACAGTAACATCCATCACCTCCTCCCGCCCTGAGCCTCACAGTGCTGTGGGATGGGAGACGGGCAGTGTCGGTGCTAGGTGGGTAGGAACACACTGCCTGGCCCTGAATGGAAGCCCCGAGCTTGGCTTGCCATTATCCAGGGGGTCGCATTGTTCTTTATTTGTGGGGATTCAGGTGGCTGGGGAGATCTGTGGAAATGGTTACAAATCCTGCCAGCCTCCTGAGTGTCAGCAGGAAGGGTATATTTATTATCGATAGCACCGAGAGGGGGCCATTGCTGGGAGCTGCAGAAACTCAGAGCTCAAGGACTGACAAGCCCCAAAGAGCAGAGTGCTTTATTCTCTGGCCCCTGTTATACAGGAGGTTCAGGGTAAATGATCTCGCCTTAAACTTTATGAATCTACCTATTTTATTCATTATTTGTCAGCTCCTTCCATTTGAAATGTTTCAGTTATTCAATCAAGGAGCAGAAATGTGATTTTGGCAGCCAACTACTCGCCATGAATAATGACTAGTCGAAGCAAACAGTGTGGGAACAGCGAGTTTGAGGATATTCATCCAAACTCATCACCTCTAGTAACGAAAGGTGAAGGAGGTGAGAATTGACTTGCAAACCCACTGTCATGGAGATTGGGTCCCCCCTGTGGAATGGGGGAAGAGAACTTGAACGCAAGAAGGAAGCCAGAAGCTCTGGAAAATTTTTAAGCTTTCAGAAAGTTCTAAGTGGAACTAGAGCCTGGGGCCCCAGAATTGTAAATATTGTGCCTGTGAAAGGCCCAAGCGTTGGGAATTGTGTGCGCAATCTTAGTAAATGCACATGCAAATGTGCATGCCGTTCTGAAAACGTGGGCCTTGATTTCTTTCCCCCTTAAACTAGATTCTCACCTCCTTCCCTTCCCCACTAAAGAACACACTTAACCAGTTATTGTTGCTTTCATTCTTGGGGGAGTCTGGGTGCAGACTAGCTGCAAGATGACCCTTAGAAGGTTTCCTTACAGGAAGATTCCAGGTCCGCCTCAAACAAAGCTTGATGGGGCTGGTGCTGGTGCTGATGCCTATTGGACTAAGGTTCTAGGTCTATTAAATCCTCTGCTCCTAGGAGTGCCAACAGTCCCTGCCTGTACTGATGAGCTGACCTTCCTTAATCACACGTCAGAAGGGAAGGAGGGGGTTTGGATTAACTCTGGATTTGGATTAGGCTTAGGCTGGATTTTGCCTGTGCTTCTGGAAGGGAGTAAAACAGTTTATCCTGTCTTCGCTGTTGTAACCGGGCATCTGCCGGGCTGATGAGTAGCTTATCAACTGAGTTCAGGAGGCCATGAGCTTGCAGGGGATCAACTGTGCAGCAGGGTACAAGGGTTCACCACAATCCCTAAGGCAGATCTGACCTTGGGGGATCACTGGGGCATCGGGCAGTTCAGTCAGGGCCTTATCCAAAGCTGATGGGAGGAAACAGGAGGCTTTGCTTTGCTTTAGGTAAGCCGTGGCTCAGGCCCTCGGGATTCAACTTCACAGGTGGCTGAGGGGATACAAAATTGGTTTGGGAGGGCGAGACCCCTTGGAATGACCCAGGGAAAACACTTCCCTTAAACATGTGCACACATCTGCATGTGTATATAGCCCTTAGAGCTGGTGAAAGTCTTTCCGATAAAAAGTTGGGGTGGGGGTGGAGGGGGGTGAGATGGGGGGAGGGGTTGATGAAAGTGTTTTTCAGAAAAATAAAACTTTTTGCAAAAGAAAAATTTTAAATTTTGATCAAAATTTTTCAGCCAACCATTCTGAGCTGTGGGTGAAATCCCAGCCTCTTCCCCCTTGTTTTTATTCCTCCCCCAAACTTTTTCCACTTGAAACCAGTGGGGGATGTTTGTATCCACAGAAAATTGGCAGTCTTTTCACCAATAAACACACATTGTGGGAAATTTCAATTAAATAAAAAACATTTTGTTTCTGTCGACATTTTTGTGAAATATATTTGACCTTTTTAACAAATACCGGCTCTGGGTGGGTGGCTGGCTGGCTGGGTGTAAGCTTCATTGAGTCAAAGTGCTGGATTCAGACCTGGCTGTAATGGCAGGCACTCATCCCAGAGGTGCCCCCTGGCAGCCCAGTGTTGAGCCACAGTTTTGCCTGCCTCTGTTTCCCCTAGTAAGCTTTCAGTACGTTCAATGAGACTTGCATACAGTGAAAAGCGCCACTTCTGGAGTCTGGTTTATTAAGCATGGTAGGTAAATAAGCTGTCTCTTCCTGCTCTAAGTCTCCAGGCCTCTCCACTGCTTGGAGCTCTGTAACTTCTCCCCTGTACAACTTTGTCTTTGTCTTTCTCCTTGGGAGTTTTCTCTCTTTGCATTCTGGGGGGGATCTGAGCAGATGCCTCTGCTCTCCAGGGTGGCATCACTGGGAGTAGCTTCTCTCTCCCCAGGAGCTTCCTCCGTCCTGGGGCCTCCTGACTGAGCGCTTTATAACTCTTTATACAGCCCAGTGTCAGGACTGGGACAGTTTGATCTAGTGGTCAGAGCCAGGGTGGTCAGAGCCAGATTCTAAGCCAGGGGTCAGAGCTGGAATTGGGGAGCAGTAGCCACTTGGGAAATCGCTCAGTTTCTTGGACAACTCCTTGCGCCTCCTTCTGGCTTAAATGGTTTGGTCAGGCCAATCAGTGGGGCCAGTCATCGTCCCCAGGCTGGATTCTTGTGGACAGTGCCTGTGGGCTGGGTTCGAGTTCTGCTAGCCCCTCACTTCCAGCTGTTTTGGGTGGCCTGCTTAGTGGTGGCTGGGGGGAAGGTGCCTGGCACCTGTGAGCCCTTGCAACCCAGTGTTCCTTAACTAACTAACTGCAGCTCAGCAACTTGTCCACTTAACGATGCGCCGGTGAAACTTGCTCTCCCTAGTAAGAGCCGGTCACAGGGAGGCTGGCTGGCTGGCTGGCTCCTCAGAAGCCAGTCCCTGGGACAGAGGCAAATCCATTCACTTCAGTTGGTTTGTCTACCGTTTACCCCAGGTCTGAATTTTTGCAGAGGGCGATCCCTGCAAAGAACGGGCCAAGGCCAGGGCAGGTGTAAGCCAGTGACTTTGAGCAGGGCTGAACTTGCCCAGTGACTGTTGTTATGGCAAGGGATCCCCTAATAGGGCTGCACATATCAGAAATCCAGGAGGCCTTTTTCCAGCCTTGCCCAATTCCCTCCTCCTTCCTTATGTTGTCAGAGCGCAGGCACCATCTGGATAATGCTCCTTCCCCTTGGTGAGTTGGGATGATGGCTGCTGACCTGGCCATGGCTCAGCTGAGAGCTGCTAGCAGAGGGTAGACCCAGCAACCGGGCAGGGAGAAGACAGGTAGATTGTTTCCACTGCAGACAATGGTGGAACTGTGGGAAGCTAGTGAGCTCCGGGCAATGACACAATGAACTTTTACCCCCACGGAACTAAGAGCTCAGGAATTCTGGAGTCACAGGATTTGACGTCTCATACATAACTGTGCAGCCTGCAAGAGGGGCCAATGGGTAAAAGTGGCTTCTCCACAGGAGGGGGTGGACCTCTGGTTGCAGAGCGGAGGACTCCAGACTCAGTCCCAGAGGAGCAGCTAGCTACACCTGTGACTTGGGCTGGGATAAAGTGGCTCAGGAGGAGGAGAGAGGGAGGGAGGCCAGCTTGGTTCAGTTTGCAAGAAGCCAAACCATGGTCCAAACTGGAGGAACCGAGCCACTAAGCGTGTAGAGACAGAGGGAATTCAACAGCAGATTGCCAGTCCTTCTGTCTCCGCACTGGGTTATTTTTAAAATCCCTCCTGTCTCGCCAGCTTTCTGGCTCCAGCGTCCGGCGGGGTTTCCTGGACTGTTGCTGGCTGGTCCATGGCAGCATCTCCAGCCAGCCCTGGCGAGGGTTGTGCATTTACAGGGACCAGAAGGCAGAAGAGCATTAACAGCTTCAGAGAAAGCAAAAGGCTGATTGTTACCATCTCAAGCCTCAGCGGTGGGGGCGGTGGGGCTGGGGGGGGGGGGGGGAATGTGAGTGCCAGCAACTCCTCCTCCTCTATCTCCCGAGGGAGCATCCAGAGCCAGTGACGTTCGCTTGCCGAGCCCCACGGCTAAATAGCAATATAAACAGCAGCTCCCACTCCCTGGCTTTTGGGGCCAAAGGTGCCGGGGCTTAAGCTCTGGGTATGTGAGCTGGGTAGACAGATGGCCGGTGGCGGGGCTCATGTTGAGCACTAATAAAGAGCAGTGCGGGTGTTTTGGCAGCAGCGCGGGCTAGCCACGCGAGCTTGCACCGAGGGGGTAGCTTCGGGTGGCTAGTCGGAGCCTCTGCCGCCCGGCTCTTTTTAGCTTGCTAGCACACGGCTGTCTCCCCGGGCTGGGAGGCTCGTTCCCCGCTGTAGCATCGCCATCCCGTTAGCAAGGCGCGGGCCTTCCCTTGGCCACGCCACACTGGGGGAACGGTGCCAAGAGAGGCCTGTTCTGCCCGTGCAGGAGCTCGCTTGGGCCTGGGCATGCGGGTGGAGTGTGAAGGTGTAACGCGCCATCGTGTGCATTGCTACACAGACCAGCCGTGCAGCGCTGGGCTGGGCCGTACACAAGCGATTATACGGGCAAGGCTCTCCCCCCCCCGCCCCCCATGGCAGCAGAGCTCCTCCCTGCTCAGACCCTGTGTCCCAAAGACCCAGCCCCATCAGAAAAACGCCTCCCCAAAGTGAGACTAAATTGGCCAGACGTGGGCTGAGTTACTGCACGGGGCGGGGGGGTTGCACAGCCACCAGCCCTCCACCGAGGATGCTGCACCTGCCTGGAGAGCCATGTGCCAAAGTCTCCTCGCTAGAAGCTGTCAGGCTGGACTGCAGACAGCCCCCGGCCCTCTGTGCTGCTACCGTGATGCCTGCAAAGGACTTGCCACTGACCACAGCTCGGCAGAGGATGTTCCAGGACCTTGGCTTTTTGTGCTATAATTTACTCACTTTGCTGTTACGTCACCCCCCGCCCCATTCATCTCATCTCCCTGTGGCACGTTGCTCTCTTGCTGTAACCTAGATCGTGGGCTTTTACGGGCAGGGACTGTCTTTTTAGTGTGCGTCTGCGCAGCAGCCAACATTGTGGGGCCCTGATCCACGAGGGGAGCTGCCGGGCCCTCCTGCAGTAGAGGAATACGAATAATCACAAGAGGCAGGTGAGGACAGGACTTTGAAATGGATCCCTCTAGGATGGGAGCTTTGTGGGCTTGCCCGAAGAGGAAGTTAGTGAAAGGAGAAGGGGGTTGTTCGCCAAGTTTAGACCCTGAAACCTCACCAGTAGATGGTGTCCTAATGGGAAAACCATGAGCCTTCCTAGGAGGGGCTGTGGTGGGCACTGAGAAATACTGGGCACTTTGTTCAGGGGTTTATATTGGGAGCTGAGTCAGTCCATCACCAAGGCTAAAGGCTTCTGGGAGGAGGCTCCTTGTGTTTCTCTTGGATCAGATGTTTCCCCGGAGGGAAGGATGGGAGGCAAATCAAAGGAACTGAATTCCCAGGATCATCCCGGGTAGGAACAGGGCGACTGAAACGGCTGCCCAGTATTCCCTGTAACAAATCTGGGCTGGGGCTGATGGAGGCAACTTCCCCCATTTCCACACCCTTGCTTCAGGTGCCCCGGGCAGCTGGGCGCGCCTTCTGCTGAATTAGTACTAGGCTATTGCCCTCAAGTTAACGTGCCTTGATATAATACCCCTGTTACAGGGGTCAGGGGCTGATGATTTAGGAAGTGCTTTGGGCCTCTGTTAATCCTGCTGGCAGGTCGGGTAGATGTAGAGCCTCTTTGAAATCCAGGTCTTGGGGCGAAACCAGGCCTGGCATAAATGGGCGCAGTTCAGTTGCTCCAGGGTTGAATTTGGCCTGTTACGTCTAGATCAGTTGTTCTCGACCTTTTCTGTCTCATGGCTCCGTTACCCTCTGGTCTAGATTGACCTTTGCTGCATAAATGCCTGGATGCCCTTAATTCTGTGGGTGGGACTGGTGACTTTATAAAGCAAGTGGGCAGAGCGTGAGTCACAGGCAGGAATACACGGGCAGGTTTTGTTGTCCCACTGCTGTACAGGAATCCCCAGTAACCGGAGGTGTTCTTTTCTAGGTAGAAGAAATGTACTCGACGGTGTGCAAAGCTGGCAAGAAGAAGAAACACCAAGGCTCTGCTCTGTCCCTCTCTGAAGGAATGGACCTTGGGGAGACGGGCCAAGGAGAACAGGGGTGGCCAGCTGCCCATCTTGGAGATGTCAGGGCGGGGTATCAGTCCACACCGGGCCAAGTCTCACGCACTGAGCCCTGCTATGAGTCTATCAGTGTTGGATCCTGGACTGAGCACAGCAGGAACCCAGCCCCAGAACCGGCCTACGAGGCGGTAGATGTCAACTGGAAAAAGCCCAAGAAAAGGGACAAGTCTACCAAGAACTGCCCTGCTGAGAACTTGTATGAAAGCATCAGCGAAATGTGGGAAGGGGACGCTAGGACCACAATTGCCCTGACGGCTCCCAATGGGTTGGAGATATACATGACAGACTTATAACCCCTTATGCATAGCTGCCCCCTTCCAGGGACGATCTGTGCTCCTCCACCGAGACCTCCAGCTGTCTCAGATCTCAGCCACATGGCGAGGCACAACAAGAACATCCAACACCACAACGGTAAATACTAAAAACATCAACCCGCTCTAAATCCTCCTGCCTCAGGTCTCAGGCCAACCTGTCACTAATGGGAGTTTCCCTGTGGGCCAGGTATCCCATTGCTCCTTCTGCAGAAATCCTTGTACCTTCCTCTGAAGCAGCTGGTGCTGGGCACTGTCTGAGGCAGTTCGCTGGGCTACATGGACCTATGGTGACCTGAAAACTACAGGCAAAAGAACTGAGTAATTCTAATAGGTGCCCATTGGAGTTTGGCATTGCTTGGGGGCTGTGCCCATTCTAGGAGCACAGACACCCAGGTCAGGTACCTCTCTTGCCTGAGTCTTTCTGCAGGGTCCAGTGAAGCTGGGCACAGAAACCTAGTTAAGGAAAGGGGCAGCTGAGTTAATAAAGAGGACTCTCCCATATGTATTTTAATCCTGTTGTTCTGAATTTCTGCATCTGTCCCAGCCAGCAGGCTAACAATGCAGCAACTGAGATACCCAGAAACAGGATGGTTTTTATTGCCTGAGAATGCACATTTAATGGGATAACATTGCCAGTTTGTTCCAGTTGAGACGGTGAGGGTTTCCCGTCCAGGTTCTTGGAGCTCTCATTATCAGCCTGAGCTGCCCAAGGCTATAACAGTTCAGGGGTAGCAAAACCAGGCAAACGTTGGCCAGACTTCTGAGTCAGGCTGGAGGGCGCAGGCCACAGGCTCTGGAGCGGCAAAAGGAGAGGACAGGAAATTGAGGCAGTGCGGTGAATGGGTGGAGCTCGCCATTTGGGGCTGAATGCACAGCAGGTAGAGCAGATTTGGAGCCAGATAGCTTTGTGCTCAGTGCATGGCCTGGGGGCAGGGGGAAAAGGGTGGCTCTAAGTCACCTGTACACCTCCTCCATCCTTGGGCTGAGCAGGGCCCTTTCAGCCCCTAGCCAAAACAGTACCAGCAGGAACGGTCCTCCAGGTCCTGTTACGCTACCCAGGGACTGCCACTTTGGCCACAGCCCTTCCTGCTGCCAGCCTTCCCTGGTGGTGGCTGAGAACCAGCTATGCCCTTCTTACGCCACCCTGGGATTCTCCAGTGTCAGGGGCGTCCCCAGGTGCACTGCTTGTTCTGCGAGAGCCGTGCATGCCAGACAGACAGAGGGCTGAGCAGCTGGCCCAGAACGCCCATGTGCCAAGCTTGGGAGTTATCGTTGGGGGCCCCGCTAACGGGTTACAAGGAGTAACTGGCTCCTCTAGTGCTTGGAATATTGAAGAGTCCAGAGACAAATTAGCAAAATAAGGACTGTTTATTAAGAGAGAATTTCTGCAGAACTGCAGGGCTGAGCTGGAGTGAGGGCTAACGCCTGCCCTATGTGGATCTAGGAATCTCCTCTCCTCACTAACCAACGTATTAATACAAGGAACCCACGCTGGCTGACAATACCCTGAGAACCCCAGACACTGGTGCTTGCTGCTTGGGGAAACTAGGGCTGTGTACAAATTAACCCTTTCGTGGTGGACACACACACACACACTACAGCTGCCTTGCCTTAGGCTGGGTCTACACTCAAGAGTTAAATCGACCCAGCTGTGTCGCTCAGGGCGTGAAAGATCCACATCCCCTCGCAACGTAGTAAAACCGCCCTAGCCCCTGGCGTAGACAGCGCTCGATCAGTGAGAGGGTTCGTCCGTCAGCTCGCTACCGCCGCTCGGGGGAAGTGCATTAAATTCGCTGATGGGAGGACCCCCCACCCCGCTGTCATGAGCGTCTACACAGAAGCATTTCCAGTGTAAGGAAATCCGCAGTCCAGCAAAGGAGGAGAGAATTGAGGACTCTGCCCCATGGCGCCTCAGAAATGGTGCTTCTGCCCAGAAAGCAAGCCAGGCCTTGTCTCCGCCGGGATTCCAGCCACTGGTGCTGCCGCACTAATGCGGCTCTGATTTGCCCGCTGGCACGGCTTACCTGCAAGGAAACTGTTCAAATCATGCAGTGCCCGGGACAAGCGTGCCTGGGGGCTTCCACCACTGGCTGGAATCCCAGCGGAGACGAGGACTGCGTTCCAGAGAGCTTGACGAGCTGTGCTGTTCAAAATGTGTGCTGTGTATGTAGCGTTTCTGTGTAACGTAGCACCCTTTTAAAGCCCTTACCCTGTAACAGAAATCACAAACCTCCATGCACTGCTTTGATAGTTTGGAAGGTAACTTTGGGAGGCAGTGTTGCCTAGTGAGGAGAGCACTGAAGTGGGACTCAGAAGAGATGTGGGTTCTATTTCTGGCTCTTCCACTGGCCTGGGTGACTATGGGCAAGTCCCGTTGCTGATCTGTGCCTCAGTTTCCCCATCTGTAAAATGGGGATAATGATATTGATTTCCTTTGTAAAGTGCTTTGAGATCTACTGATGACCAGATTCAGGGATTACTGTTTTTCTTCTAGATGTCTCCTGCTGGCTGTTGAAGGTCAGGAAGCCTGCAGCCCCCTTCAGTTTCCTATTGCTATAATAACACAATAATATCATTAAAGGGCTGAGAGTGTTTTTATACTGGAGCAAACATCTTTTTAAACTTTCACCTAAAAAACGGGCTTGTGGTTGCGTTTTGTTTTGGGGTATTTTTTCCTGACACATTGTAACACACAAACCAAACCCACCCAGACTTTATTGTCGTGTCCACTAGGATGGCTTCAGGGTTCAAATAAACACAGTGGCGGCATTTCAAGTGTGCCAGCATGTTTGCATTACCAAAGTGCTCGGATGCAAAGGTAACGACAAGTGGCTCTGCAGAGCCTAAAAATGGTGTAGATTTGCCCCATGCAATGGTTCCCTTTGTGACAAACCTGAACCCGGAACACAGCTGGAGGGACCAGGCCGTGCAGGGAGTGGGGAGCTCTGGACTCCAGGCCACTCCGAGAGCCTCAGGCCTGCACACCTCCCTCCTCGCCCTGCGCACGCGCCTGCGTGACCATTTGAAAAGCCCTGAGGTGCATTGTGGGCTGCTGGAGGTGCAACCCCTCTGCCAAGTTTTGTAAATCCTACTTATTCCCAACCCCTGGAGCTCTGTGGGCCCGTCTGGGCGGAGTCAGGATTTGCCCTGGGAAGGTTTGATGTTGATACAGGTAAAACTCTGCATTCCTCAGCTGGGACAATTGGGTTTGCACTTCATTGTCTCTCTCCAGCATCAAATGAGTAGGCTAGTTTCTGGATCCCTGCTGGAGGGAAATGTTTCAGGGATGGGGGAAACTTCAAAGGCCATTAAATAGATTAGGCTGTACACTTTGTCCTATCCTAAGCTAAGGAAACACTTACCTGCCTTTCAGCTGCCCATGAGTTATCAAGGTGCCGTGGCCCAGATGTTCAGACCTGCGCACCTCGTTCTCAGGTGCCAAAGCGTGCATTTGCTGTGTGTTACTGCAATTGCAGCCATTGTGCCCTGGAATCGGGATGCACAAATATGCACACCAGGTCCCAAGGTATATTTACTACTCTCATTTCCCCTGGTGATCAGAGCAGGCAATCTACAAGGGTCAACAAACGTGTGTCATTAACATGGCGTATCAAATGTTTCCCCCTCGTGCATTCTGGGGAACAGGCAAATATGGTCATATTTGAATGTGGTTTAGTTACTTTGGTGGAATCAGCTTAATTCCAGTTGGTTCTGATTGAAGTTCCCATCTTGTTTACATTCAGTTTAGCTAAAGGGTACATAGCCCTGCAGCGGCACCTCTTTGCAAACACTGAAACAGTGGTGACCTTTACCAGCTCTCCTGGCACCCTTGATGGTAACTGGCAAAGCAGTATCCTGCCAAGATAGACATTGAGCACAAGGCACCAAGCAATTGGTGACCTTTCACCATTGTATTAACACCTCGACTTTTAAATGATGCAGAAATTAGGCTAAATAGTCTTCCAAAGCCCAGTGCCCAAATCCCAAGCCCAGTGCAGAGACGGAGCCGGCATTCCGTTTCACAGGATCGAAATCACATAGCATCTCCGAGTGGCTTTGACCCTCTATTGAATTTCTTTTAAAAACGCTATGCACAAAGTACGTTAAGCCTAAAAGCCTTCCAGGCAGCAGGGAGTTAATGGGCCATTCTTCACGTGCATTTTTGTCAGACTGATGCTTACTGGTGAACCACAGCCTTTAGCGATAGAAAAGCCCTGCTAGAAATCTGGTCCCATCTCTCTGCCAGACACAGTTCCCTGATAGGGGACATATCAGATCGTGAGCCTGTTATAACATTAGCACGCTGTATGTGGCTGCTTTGAATTTAAAAGCATGTGGCTAAGGTGCTAGATTGGGACTCAGGAGAGAGGGGATAAATTCCTGGCTCTGCCAGAGCTTTCCTGAGCAACCCTGGGCACCCTCTGTAAAAACAGGGCTACTAATCTTCCTTTTCTCCCATGCTTGGTCTCTCTTATCTCTGTGCATTGTAAACTCTGCAGGGCAAAGATTCTCTCTCACTAGCGGAGCGTACAGGGCCTAGCACAACGAGGCCCTGTTCTTGGGTACAGCCTCCAGCTGCTCCTGTAACACACCTGAGTAATAATGATGCTGATGGAACCAAACCAAGTGCCGTGACATTAGCGGTCGTGGGCCAGGGTTTCGGCTATTGAAGTCGTCATTCAGCGACTTCAGTGAAGGGACGTCAGTTGGTACCAGCTGAGCCTCTGGCCCTGGGCATTCAACTAGTTTGTTAGTTACAGTGCTGAGATAGTGATGTGGAGGATTAGGATGCCCGTTCCTCAGGAGCTATCTGCTTCCCCTCCTCATTGACTGCAATGACAGCAGCATACACTGTCAAAGACAATGAAGTCTTCCGAGAGCAGTGGAAACTCTCATTGGGAATGGCTTGACTTTCATGCCTAGCCGATCTCAATCGGTGCTCTGAAGTGATTTTTGTCCTCGTTAGCAGCTGGTTTGCAACGCCTGGGCTGGCCAAAGCATTCAGCAAGGTCTGAATGGCCACAAGCTTTTTAATCCTTAAAGTGCTGGTGGGGGGCAGGGGGTAGCAGATCTTCAAAAGTGCTCAGTTCACAGCTCTGTTTTTTCCTGGATGGCAATGAAACAGGCTACAGCAGGACCCAGATCTCTGGCCAGCTAGCTCTGAAACCTGTCCCGCTGCACAACTGTTTTATTTGTCACAAGCTGGCTGGGTTTACCCGCGGTGGGAACGTCCAGAGCCTATGGGCTATGGTAGGACCTAGGTGGGCTCAGAAACTCTTGGAAAGACACTAGATTTGGCTAACTGCCAGCAAAGGCAACATGCCCTGAAATGTGAACTGTCCCAGGGGCATGAAGCACCTGGGTGAGAACAGCTTCCCTCCCTGTGGGCTCGGAAGCTGGGCAGAGATTAAAGTGCAAATTGGCAGGGCACCCTTTTTTCCTCAGCTAGCTTCCCAGCAAGGGAGGAACCTGCTGAGCCATCGGACATATAGCTGAGGATGTGGGGGCCAGTCCTGAGCCATGTGTGAATCCTGTACAAACAGGCAGCATCCAGGGTTCACTGCAGGAGTGAAGCTTCACACCCTCAGGGCTGCATTCACATCTGTGGTTCCTGCACTCCCCCTGTTGCTGCAGGATTCACGGGAGTCCTGGCACCTCTTGCCACAACCCTGGCTCGGCCCGCAAAGTCCCTTGCCGGGCAGTCCAGGGAGAGTCACCGTGGACGAGTGCTCGGGTGCACAGAAGCCGGTTGCGTAACTATCCTGTGGCTGGGTTCTTCTCACTGCGTCAGAACTGCCCTGGCTCCAAGGACTTCCCGGGGCTGCAGGATCTGGCCCCCTAAAGGAGTCAAGTATGTCTATGCATGTTGCATAACTGCCCCCACTGGGGCTCTGACTTTAGGGAGACAGGCCATGGTGTGCCCTGGAAAGGGGGTGATATGACTATTGACCCCATCCACTTCTGCAAAGCCCCTTAAGATTCATGGCTCTGCTAATGCTAGTGGGATGGTTTCATTATTCAGCTCATCCAAGGATTGCCCCTTTGACCTTGCTACAGACAAGATTTTCTGCTGGGAAATGGTGTCCCGAGCAAGTTATCAGAACGAAGGTTGGAGAGCGCTGAAGGAAATGAACGTCATGTCTGCAAACCTAGTTTGGAGTTTGGAATGCTTCACATTGGAACTGGGGCTTTCTCTCACCATAAGGGAACCCATTCTCTTCTTCTGATGGGGAAGAAATCAGAAAGAAGAGGATAGTCCCATCTCTGTCGTATGGCTTTGTGCACAGATGTGTAGAAGGGGAATTGCTGGCTTCATGTCCTGAACAATAGCTGCATCTGTGTGGTCTGGGGGAAAAGCTGGACCGTTTTAATCAACATTTGCCTTGTGACTTTTTCTGATGTGCATGTTCCAGCCTATTCCTGTGCAGCAAAGGTCTCTCTGTGGGGCCATGGTGTGTGTGCCTTCGGACCAGGCCTCTTCGTCAGAATAGGCCTAAGTGTATTGTGGAGAGGCATCAATCCGCACTCACATTGGCATCTGGTACCAAGAACAGTGCTCTTCTGATATACCCTGTCCTCCTAACCAGCATCTTCACCCATATTTCCCTGATAGGCTCCTGATAGTCTCTTCCTACCTGGTCTCATAACCAGAATCCATTCCACATGGGCACAAGAATCCAGTCTAGGTTTCACCTGTGGGTGTCCTGGGTTAAAAGCATTAGCTAGCCCAGTCTACAGGGTCAGAAAGACAGAGGTCTTTCCCTGCCCCCCACAGGCTGCACATGTCTTTGGAATAAAGAAAAGAGCTTGGTCTGGATTCTTCTCCACAACACACCTGCACTTCACTAGCCCTGTGGCTGGAAGACCCAACAACGCTCCGAGGCTAAAATGCTGGAGTCGGGCCAGTGGCCCGGCTCCCACACAGCTCTGGGAAGTGGTCAGATGAGTTCAATGGGAATTGGACCCACTTATGCCAAGGCCAGCAATGGGCCTATTGCTCACATTAAATGGTGTGACTACCAGGGGTCTCCCAAACCCACTCTGAGCAGCATCGTGTGAGCAGCATTTGGAGAAAAAGGTGCAGTCTGCCGTGTTGCCAGTACTCATGATTTTGTCACCGGCCTCATGGTATATGGAGTTTGCTGTCAAGCCCCAGCTCCTGGAGTCCAGGGATTAAGGGAAAATCTCAGCTTTCAATGAAAAAAAAGAACAAATTTCTAATCCTTGTGAAGGTGTAGAAAAGTGTCAAAATATGACCCGAGTGCAGCCTAATGGCTCAAAAATCAGAAACCAAGTGAAAAGAACCCCAAGTTTATGATTTGACTTAAAAATCGGGAGATTTTCTTTTCAATCTCATGATTTTTGGGGGCCTGACTCATCTGAGGTTGGTGATGCTGAGTTTGAATGGAAACTGTGCCTGCCGTGTTTGGGGTCCAGCCATGCAGCACAAACCCATCTCTTCCTAAACCCTTGTGGAGAGCTGCTCCTCTCCACCGTGCGCCTCGTGGGACTTGCCCAGGTATGATCAGGGCTTTGTAGACACCGCCATGCTGCAGAACTGGGCATGTCCCCAAGATACCACAGAATTCAGCTTTCTCGCGGCAGGGTTTGCCTTGCTGCAGCTGGGAGCCCGGCATTCTGGGTCTCTGACCTGCCCAGCTGCAACCTTCCAGCTTTCCCCACAAGG